TATATCTGGAATATGCCACCCCCCAATTGTTCCTCTATAGGTGTTGTAAACACACATGAACAAATACAAGTATGGATCTGCCTAGATACATAGCTACATAGAGACATACACAGCCACAATGAGATGTACATGCAGTGCACACACACACTATCACACATACACAATCCAAGTCACGGCCTGGGACAGCCTTTAGAAATCACCTGTATCAAACTCCTATTTGACAGAGGAAGATACTGAGGCCCAAGGCCTCACAGTAAGTCAGAGACACAGGCAAGATCAGAACCCAGGCCTTCTAGATTTTGGCCCTTGTTTTTGTCTTGCCTGGGAGCCCCTCATACATACCAGGCATAGGGCTTCAGGGAAGGGGTGGTTACCTGGTAGACTGGACTCCCTCTGTGTGGGCAGCCTCCAGCATTTGCCAGAACCTCACACATATCACAGGAGAAAAAAAACATTCCCCTCCTTTCCCTCTCTCCTTCATTTCTCTACAACGGGGGAGTGGGGTTCAAGATAGCTGAGGCCAGATCCCCAAGCTGGAAGTGCAGTGCAAGCGTGGGGAAAGTGGAGAGAGGAGATGGGTGGCTGCAGGAATAGGACTTGGGGGTGGGGGGCACTGGGAAATACCCCTGGGTCACTGTCGTCCTAATGTACCTTGCCTAAGGAGCCTCAGGCTATCCTGGGCCAATGGACTGGTAGCTATGTGCCAGTCTGCTCTACCTTGGGTTCTCCTTTTCACCCCACTCCGCCCAGGGTCATAACCTGTCTTCTTGGGAGGTGCCTCCAACAGACTAAGGTGGAGCACAGCACTTTCTCAAAGCCATTCTCCAATTTCTGAGAAGAGTCTCCACCATCCATCCTTCCAGGTTTCAAACCTCCAATATGTCCTTGACGACCTTTCTCTTTCCCACCCATGTGAAACTCATCATTCACCAAGTTCTGTCAGTTCAGCCAGTGAAGTAGCTCAGAGATGACACTTTTCCTCACCTTGTGACCTTAGGCCCGAGTTTCTCCTCCACATTGCATCAAGCCCCCACACTGGTCTCC